CGGTTTGTAATGATTTAATTAAATGCTTTACTTTAATTGATGCATTACGTTCAGGAGTTGTTTGCAACCGTTGCTGCATTATACCTTGTTTACCTTTGTTATACTATATCCTTGTTACCCTGGTATCCGCAGTCGAGTCAATGCTTAGCTGGCTTAGACCGGTAGAAGTCGGGTGATTTCCTGTCACCTGCGAGCTATAGGTGGTTACCTGGATCTGCTTGGATGACTATGAAGTCATGGTATAACTAAGTGTTAAATGAAGTTGAGACCGGATGGAGACTTGCAGAGTTTTTGACTGTAGTGTTTCCGTCTGTGTCGATTAAGGACCGACCGTTGTTGGGCCTCGAGTCATGTTGAACGCATGCCTTACATTTAGCTGGCCGGATAAAGTACCTTCCGACCGCGAAGCTGGGAGATTTTTCGGGCCGAGTAGATTGCCCGCAGCGCACTGTGCCGGAGTAGGTGTGGTAGGACACGGGGCGGGATGATAAGACTAAAGTGCAGTCGGTCGGCCCCCAGGTACATGTGGTTCCTGGCAAACTCGAGATACCTGGAAAGTTGACTCGGTGATCAATATCTCACTTTAGCGGGTGAGTGAGGTTTGTGTAAGGAATAAATCACCAGCTGGTTAGGAATCGATTCGAATCACCATCGCTCCTGGATAGTGAGCACTTGACTTGAGTGACTTCATCGTAGTAAATGTTTATGGAACACTTGGACAGTTATAGTTAATATGACAATATAGAAATTGTTTAATGATCAGTGGTTATCATTATCTGCTTAATCATATGTGTGCTCTAGTATAGGTGCAAATCTAGTCGACAGGTTAATAATAATTAACTTGACAATAATGCTTTTAGAAAGGTTCTTGAAATGCTAAAAATGCTTCTTTTGCAAATGAGTCAGCTACCCTACTATAAAGCCCTTCATAATCCTTGGTGTCATTTATTTTCGGTTATGTCGGGTAAGTCTAGCTGAGTACCTTCTCGTACTCAGGGTTTTATTCCCACTTGTTACAGATGGGCAGATGTATTACGGCTACTGTATCAACTGCCTTTATCCTGCGATGGGTGATGCTTAGGACCATGGGCATGGTCATTCCTTACGTCTCGTCTAATGCTTTTGTTGGAGATGATCATTCGCTGGCACTATATTTAAACTCCGCGTGAGTGTGTGTGTGGTTTGAACAAATGACTTCCGCTACTTTTATTCGAACTGGTTTTGTAATAACTATGTTTAAACTCTGATGTATCTGAGATTGCGAACTTTTATGTAATATGTGATGGTGACCGCTAAACTTATTACGATCTTGGCTGGAATGGAAGTTGGTTTGAAATCGTTCGTGATTTCACGGACTACCGGGTTATACGGGCTTAAGTTTGCTAAATCGTCTGCTCTGGCGGATGATTTTCTTACTTAATTTCGTATAATTGGTCGGTTCTGTTACAATGACCAGGGAGATAGACATGCTATGCCCACACCGGTTGATGCCATGCCTGAGTAAGTAACTCGTCGTCCGAGTACCAATCATCTACCACAACTCTGTTGTTGTGGCTAGGGTCACCTGCATTGCCCTGATCTGCCTTTCGCCTGTAGTACACGGCCTCCGCTTCTTCTGTGGTCTGAGATAAGAACACGTTCTCTTCCTTCTCGTTCATGTGGATAGGCTCAACTGCATTGTTCTGACCTGCATGTTGCCTGTAGTAAGCGGCCTCCGCTTCATCTACGACCTGAGTGAAGAACGCGTCGTCATCCTCCTTCGCCTGTCATCCCGCCTCTGCTAGAGCGATGAGCTCGCTCAGTCTGTCAGTGTCGTCCTCAGCCTCCTCTGCCTGCAAGCCCGCCTCAGCAAGAGCGATGAGCTCGCTGAGTCTGCCAGTGTCGTCCTCAGCCTCCTCCGCCTACGAGCTCGCCTCTGCTAGAACGATAAGTTCGCTCAGTTTGGCAGTGTCATCCTCATCCTCGTCCCTCTCATCAGACAACACAATCGGTGATTGAACGGTGCGACCAGCTCGCATTTTGTGCTCATCTAACTTCTTTTTCTCATACCTTGCATGAGCCACCTCTCCGTCATGGTCCTTGCTGCATCCAATCCCTTCATATATAAAATGCAATCAGTTAGCAATGCGATTATATTACATTTAAAATCAGGCAACGAAAAAATGGCTTTCAAGCACTCACTGGCACATAATGTAACAACTTGCTTGTTCAAGACCTGCATCTGTACTCTTGTCTCCTCCCTTACCTCCTTGCTTGCTCTCTCCTCCTCTAACACCCTCCGTCTCTTCAATCCCCATTTGCTGAGCCCAACATCGATCAGGTTACGAATACCGCGCTGTCTAGCAAACTCACGTATCTTGTCTTTGTGATGTTTAACGAATATGTTGACGTAGTCAGGTCCATATCCCCTCTTCCGTGCAATTACTTGCCTCCCCTTCGATTCATCAAGAACTTAGCTTGACTATGATAACATTCCCACTTGTATTTTTTAGTGCTCTGTTCAAACGAAAAATTATATCATATATGTCTTAGCAAAAGAAATAAAATACGATTTCATGTTTATCACAAAAATAACCAACCTCATCATAGTCAACCATATGGCCGCAACAATGGCCTATTCCAAGCTCCGAATGGACTAGGCCATAGTTGGATTTAACACCACATTCGCACATGACAGGATGTGCTTTGTAAATTACCATTTTTTTCTTCTTTTCCTTAACCTTTGGCGGTTCTTTCTGCCATTAGTTCTTAGGACCATACAACCACTGCTTCAAATGACATTTCGTCATTGAAAACACTTAAATAAGGTGACATTAGTACATGAACACATATAGCTCAACATTTCAACACATACACTTTGTACTTACTTCATGCTTGTTTGAACACACAAACTCCAACGTATTTTCAGGGTTTATCACAGCTCGATCTCCGCAATCGCACAGAGAAGGTTCCTCGACTCGTCTAACTACGGCTAAGTGCTTCACCTTAGCCGTCATTGGAGGGGGTTTAGGGGGAGGTGGAACCCACCGCTCGAAGTGCTCTTGTGGATGTCGCCCTCTCCATCAATCGTCGAAAAGGAGGTACCTGGGGTCAAACTTGTCTGCACCGTCGATCCACTGAAAGAAAAAGCACCTCTCATAGGCCTACGCAACAAAATTTCAACAAAATATTAGTAACCTAGTAATACAAATGAAGAAAAAAACATACGAAAACAATTACTTACATTAAAACGACTGCATGTGTAGAAGCAACGAGCCGCTGTGTCCGGATGTCTCGATTAAAACACGTCGGCTGGACGACCACAGTCACAGTTAGGGACAGAGAGGTCAGAAGGGACGGGGGCATCTTTGTTTGACTCGTCGGGGTACAATTCTCTAGGACGACCCCGTTTTCGCCACAACTGCTCCCGAAACATGTCTTACATCTAATAAAACGGTTCAAATTAAACATCAATCAAAACAACGTAAACTATTGTAAAATATAATCATTTGCATTGCAACTCAAATAATATAACCAACACTTATAGCAACAAAAGTATATATGGTAAACATACATCGACAAAATCAAACTAATATCTTCCTCCAAACCATATCCCATAGTTCCCAAAGATAATTTTACTCCTAACGTATACTCCCATTCATAATATTTCAATCCAACATTCAAACGAAAATAAAAAGTGCGTCATTACCTTGAACGGGGACGAGCAGGGAGTGAGGCGCCCAGGAAATGGAAGGGAAGGAAGGGAGGCGGCAATAGAGGGCCAGACGTCGACAACACTTGGGAGTGGCGGGCAGGCAGGCGCGAAGGCGCGGCGGACAGGCGGCCAGGCAGGCGAGGGCGCGAAGGCATGCGGGGCTGGGCTGCGGCCCTTTTAGCCGGCTCTGTCGTGCCACCGATCAAGGCGTCGTCACTGCCGCGCCAGGATCGGTGGCGCGGCAGGCTCTGCCACGTCACCGGTCAGCGACCCGGTCGTCGCCACGTCAGCCCTCTCGCCGCGCCACCATGCATGGCGTGGCACAGGCTTTTCGCCGCACCATGGCAATAGGTGCGGCCAAAAGTGTTAGATTTGGGAAAAAATTTTAAACAGTGTTAGATTTAAAATTAGTTTAAAAAATGTTAAAAAATCTCAAGCTCACCGCAAGGAGTACGCGCCTCTGTGGAGGAGCTCGTGCTGACGTCCATGGCCTCGCAGCGTGGAGTACGCGCCCTTGCGGAGGAGCTCGTGCCGACGCCGTCCATGGCGCAGCAGGAAGGAGTACGTGCCCTCGCGGCAAATATGTTCGTGCCCTCGTCGTCGTCGATCTGTTGCGCCGCCGCCCGTATCATGGCCAGGCACTCAGCGTGCGTCATCGACTCAACATGGTGCTGCACTGCTGCGCTTGGAGCCGAGCCGGTGACCGCGCCGGAGCGTCCGCAAGAAGCCGAGAGATGCATGGACGAGCCACCCTCCCGTGAGCGCTCATCTTTCCCGCTGCCACGCGTCGCCGATCGAGTGTAGGGGCGCATCGGTGGTCAAATGAACCCATCGCCCACCCAATTTTTTTCCGCGCGTCAGGGAAGTCGGAAACCACAGTATGGACGGAGGTGGAAGGTAAGCGCTGTGAGGCCATCGTCTATCATTGTTGATTTGTTGGCACGGCGGCATGTCGCGGTCGTGCTTCTGACCAAGTTGCTTTTGTTCGTAGCCTTGAAAGCGACACCTGACGCCATGCGCGAAGACATGCGGCGCCTGAACGCGGATGTGCAGGAGGCGATGCACGCACACCTGGCGCGCCGCCGAGGAGCTTCTCTAGGAGCAGTATTATATATATGTTCGGCTTCGTGCCCTGTGCGTGGCGGCGCTCGGTGCCTGCGACGCGGCCTTTTCTATGAGGACGCGGACAACTCCACCGTCGTGGAGAAGCGCCTACGTTCCATGCCGGGTCGCCTTCGGCAGGTGGTGATCGACGCCATCCGTCAGGGGGCCACCGCACAGCTTCGGTTCCGCGGGGGTGGCGGACATGCACGAGATCGCGCGCGGGTTCCCATCTTCGTTAAGGGGTGGTGGATATAAAACCCAAAAAAACCCGAAATCTAAACCCAAATTACCTAGATTCGACCCCGACCCCAAAATATCCGAATCTGGATACCCGATCTCTATTTCAGATAGTGAGTTCAAGAACCCAATTTCAGTTCAGATAATTCAGGTATTAGGTCCCGGTACCGGTTTTACCGAAAATAGTGGAAGACTATATACAGTATCGTAATTGATTGTGCTATAAATATTCTAATGATAGTTGTGATGTTAGTGGGACATATTGATCTATGAAGTAACACTCGTGTTTTTTTGTTCTAAAATGCTACTTCACTTGCATCTATATTTCTTTCTCTTCTGAATATTTATATGGTTTTGCTAATTTGGGGAGGCTAGGAAATACCCAAACCCAAATTTCAGATACCAGAAATATCAGATACTGTTAAAATTTTGGGTATCAAATCCAGGACCTAGATTGCTGCCTTGTCAAGCAACCTTGCCTAGACAAGCAACCAAACAAACTCTTTAATTCATGACCTAGCAGTTATTTGTGTGGCTCAACTTTTGCAATAATTAGTCTGATTCTTTTGGTTACAAGAGACGGAGCTAGATTGATTCGTTTATTTAAAAAAAATGTCAAAAAGAAGAAGAAGCAGTACATACCGAAATCCCCGTGTAATAAAGTGTGATTATCTCGCTAAACGGCAAAACTATGAAACAAATTTTTTGAGGATTGCAAAAGGAGAAAGGTCAAGTTCAACAGTTGCATCAACTCCACTTAAAGCAACAAGCTGGTGTTTTTTTTTATTTGTACCAATCGTGAAAGCGCAGCTGCTGTTTCTGTTGCGGGAGTTTATGGGTAGTAATAAAAAAATACTATACGAAATGGCCAAGTTTGAGTATAGTAAACCACTGGATACATAACATATACCGCTACTACACTACAGATGTTACTAAACTCTGGTACCTGGTGCGTCTCAAAAAAAAAAAATCTGGTATCTGGTGTAGATCAGCATGAGAAGGTCTACCGGCCACATGTTAGATGACACACAGAATGTCGACATTGTGGCAACCCGTTACACATGCCAAAAGTCTTCTGTATAACTGTTCCCCAAGACTTAGAGTTGTTAAAGTATCCGGGTTGCTGTACTCTCTTTATCCTAGTTTATTTGTTAGGTTGAAGAGATCGAGTCTACAGTTCTACACATGCCACCAGATGACTAGAGCCGCTAATTCCGGTACGGTGGTATGGCGGCTCCGACCGAACCCGTGTCAAACGGCCATCCATAAAATGTCTCCGTCAAAAAAAAATTGAAAGAGCCAGAGCCGTTTTCCTATTGGACAAGCAGAGCCATGTAAACATAGTTTCTCACCGCTTCTCACAAACTTAGCATAAATAAATTATAACAAAACTGCAATAAGAACCATTTTTACTAAACTTTTTTTTTCTTTTCAAAACAGCCTGAGCTCTACTAAAGGACATGCTTCACAAGAAGAGCTAGAGTCAAAACCCATAAGGAGACGAAGGCGTACCAAGCTGGCCCTTAGTCCTTTTTCAGTCCTGGATGGATTATTGTCAAACACTCCGTACTTGGTGTAGTACCACGTCGCGCTTTCTGAGCTATCTGATCATTTAGCGTAACGTGCAATCTGACCCGTAATCTGTTTATGTTTTTTTTATAGGAATAATCTGTTTACGTTACTGTCATGCAAGTGCGTAATAAGGAAGGACCACGGGAAGACGTTGAAAAGCAAGCAGGCGACAGGCAACCGAACCGTCAGAACTCAGAAGCGCCTCGCCGAGCCGCTGCTACCTGCTACTGCTAGTCTGGTGAAAGCGCCTTTCAACCGTCACTCCCTCAAGAACTGGGCACCACCACCAGCAACCCCCATGTACGGTCTGTAAAAATGACGTCGTGATCGCGGCAGCATCATCCTTCGTTGTTGCGCTGCATGCTTTCACCAGCTCTTCGAGGGCATCGGCCTTGGCGGGTGCATCGTTCAGGTGAGCACGCTGTTCTTTTCTTCCGATTTTGACTGGTTTAGGAGTGGTCAATCAGGGTCTTTTGTCCGCAAAACAACTGCACCATCAATTGCGAAGGTGGAGTCGTTGGCTTTTAGCACTCAGCAGAATCTACCAAACCTCCAAGGAAAACGTCGCCGCATCTCCTTCTACTATATAAAAAGGATTGCCAATCTCCTCCATGTGAAGAAAATTCTCTCCCGCATCTGAATTTTTTACTTTTCCTTTTTTCCTTTCTTCTTCCTATAAATAGCGTTCATGGAAGAGAATAAACTAAATTTGGGTGAAACAATTTCTTCTACATCCTGATTTCAGTTAATGTCGACTTATACTGAATTTGTACTAAAGTTACAGTAATTATTTTGTGCAATTTCTAGGTATTGTGTAACTAAAAATTCGAGTGTGGAGAAGAAATATCTTACCCCATTCTTACCTCACCTTTAATGTGGATGTGAAATTCTTCCAAGACACCTGATTTTTTTTATAACATGCTCACAAAAATGAAGATGTAGGAGAGGCCTTTTTCACACGCATATAATATAGGCAAACTCATGTAAAAAGTAGTTGTGTTTATCTCTTGGATCATGCAAGATCCACATCAAAGTATCTTGTCAACGTCTCATAATTTGTCCTTTTTCATTTTGTTATATAGTCTTTTGTCGACTCTTGAGGGCTAAAGGTTAAAAAGTTGTTGACAATAGTAACTGGGCCGGTACTCCTCAGATAGCCTCATGTCTGGGCCTAGGCTAAATATCGAGTCAGCCCATGTAAAAATGTCACTCGTGGTTTTTTGTCTTTTGATTTTTTTTAAATCAACTTTGATTGAATTTTTGAATCTGGATGCTACCCATAGAGGTAACTAGTGTGAATGTATGATTCCTAAAATAAAACAATGTTTAACTAGTGTGATGTGATGACAAACATTTTGTATTTCATCACAGGCCAAGTTTCGCCTCAGGTCAATGGTAGCGATGGCACTCTTCTTCTCGCTGACGACCCCGATCGGCGTCGCCATGGGCATCGCCATATCGTCCGCGTACGACGAGACGAGCCCGACGGCCCTGGTCGTGCAGGGCTTCCTTGAGGCCGCCGCCGCGGGGATCCTGGTGTACATGGCGCTCGTCGACATCCTCGCCGAGGACTTCTTGAGCGCCCGGGTGCAGAGCAGAGCGCGCCTGCAGGTCGCGCTCAACACCTCGCTGCTGCTCGGAGCTGGCTTGATGTCCATGCTCGCCATCTGGGCTTGACCACAGCAACGTAAGCTGAAGCGCAGGGAGTGGAGTGGAGTGGAATTTCGTTTAGGTTCGTGTTCCAATGGGTCAGGCGCTTTCAAATGTATAAAAGAGGGGTAAAATTTATGCAAGTTCTTAGGTGCCGTCAAGTAACCACCCAGCCGTCGAATCCTACTAATCGCAAGTCTGACAAACCATTTCGAACACATGCCATAGGCGTATATTTAGCCACGGTGGACATTGAGGATGGTATAGTGCTCATATCCATTGTCGAAACAATCTCGGCCCATGCAACCTTTTGCTAGGCATGCTCTGCCGCTCGTATTCATTTGACGATGGTCACGCCCAGTCGATTGGTCATCAGCACACTCGACCGTCACGACAACAACCCACAATCAGCTCAGGTTCAGCTGAAGTAGCACCTACGTGGGTCTCGTGGGTTTCGCCTCTGGAAGCGGACCAAATGTCACGAGGCGGCTGCTCCATGCTAGCAATCACTTGAGCCGCTGATGACGAAGCCTCGTCTTCAAAAATCCACCATTGCTCCTCCTAAATAAGGCTAGCGTGTGCGACAGCCTTCTACCCACACTTATTAGGACCAGACCATTGAGCCGGTAAAAGCGTGAAACATCGGTTCGTTGGTTCACGAGTCCGACCATTAAAAATTAGTTGAACTGTTTGTTAGATAGTTTTGGACCGGATAAATTCAATCACCCTCAAATGCTTCAAACCGGTACAATATAATGATATACAACCGGCAACTAGCAACACATACAGCCTGTTCGCTCGCTCGTAAACGATCGTAAATTTCCAGCCGGGAACAGTGTTTTTCTCTCACACCAAACCAGCCAACAGTAAATAATCCACGATACGATACGGCCTCCCGAACAGGCTGATAGTTGATCACATATACAAACAAAATGGTAAAAAAATCAATCATATAACTAACCTCCAACTAATCTACCCTCAAGTCCACGACATGTACTCTAAAATCAGCATGCGTTTGTTGGTGGTTCTTAAGTCAAATAATCCGTTCGCCAAAAAATAATAAAACGACTACATTTCGTAATGCATCATAGCAAGATACGTGTCTTAATTTGATAAGTTCCATAAGTTTTGGTGCTCTAGAGTCGTTTTACAAGACATGTTGAAAGCGTGCATCAAATGATAATATATGGAGCAATTACAATTTGGTACAAAAAAGGACTTAAATATTAATTTAAATATTCACCATTGCAAAATAATCTCAAATGCTGTAATTGAGTGTACCATTACGAAGAGCCTGTTGAGATAATTAAGATAGATATATTGTTTGTTTAATTTGAAAGTTGAGATAATTAAGATAGATATATTGTTTGTTTAATTTGAAAGAAAAAGTCATAAAGTTTTGGAATTAAAAAAAATAGTGCCAAAAGTCAACACATCCATGTACTGTACATCACGCATGTAGCGTTGCCAAAACCCAAAAGTCAACACAGCAGGTTCAGCAAGGGAACAAGATCCTCTGCAGTCACAGCGGCGACTGCTCTCTACAGTCATGGAACCCTGATGCGCAAACACACTCCACCAGCCAGGAGCCCACACGCTGGCTGCAAGCGTGCCACCAGACCCTGCCGGTTCACCGGTTTGATAAAAGAAACCTTTAGATTCTCTAACTTCGTGAAGAAAAGTCGTGAGTTTGGCCTTTCCGGATGTCACTCAATTCACATCTAACGGTTGCGGCTCCTCTCAACTTTCTCCACACATAGCAGTTAGTCCACAAGAAGATCATGGTCAAATAAAGCCCAGATTCGGAAAAATAAGCCTAGCTTGATGGGAGAGACAAATAAAATGAGAATAAAGGCGGATTCAATACATAAACATATGCATACACTATTTTTAGTGCAAATTTAACAACCATTTGACTTAAATATTTTGCATAACGCTCATGCTCCAAACAACCAAAATAACCTCAGCCACTTTTACAGTACATCAATTGGCACAGTTTAGCCAAATAATTACAGCAAGTGTTAACCACGTTTACCCCAAAAAAACAAAATATCCTTCCCTGTAGCAACGATTAGGGTCCTAGAGGAAATCATCAATGTTACTAAGTCCCCCGGAAAGACAAAGGAAAAGTTAAAAAAATAATATTTAAACTAATTCTACAAGTTAAAAAAGACAAATATTGAAACTACCATCAACAGATTGGTGTAGCGAGTCAAGACATTGCTGCCCACACGTATCAGATCGGCAACACGCGCTCAATGCTCAGGCGTCAAAATCATGTCCGCAGATGGCCATCGGGCCAGCCCGGTCCGACTTGGCCCGGGCCCGGGTCAAGCATGGCCCGCTGGGGTTTGGGCCAGCACTGTAACACCTCTGGTATTTTGACCTAGCATTAAAACTTGACATGTCATCATATGCATTGCAAAGCATTCATAAAGTAGAAAAATTTGAATGCATTCACTAAATAAGCTTTATTTCATAAGTTGTTATTTTATGTGATGTAATGTGATTCAAAACTCTGAATAAAAATCTTTACCACAAGGGTCAAATTTCATGTGATCATGTGAGGCCATGTGTCATTTGACTCAAATAACCCTAATGGGCCATGTTACTGGTCAAAAATCAAAGTTAAGTCAAAAGGAAAACAAATTAAATTTGAATTCAACTTCAAATTATAAAAGTCCTTTTTGCCCCTTTTGTGTATTTCAAAATCCATTTGGAATTTGAGGGTGTGACAAAAAGCAAAGTTGAAGCTTATTTTATAAGGATCAACTTTGGTATTCAAAGTTTTTAAAGTTTACATATAAAGTTTGGAGTAATTTTGAAATGATTCAAATGCTCAAATGCACCCTAAATTCAAATTTTAAAATGGAGGCAGAATTTGAAAATATTCCTTGAAGCAAAGTTGTAGAGTTTGAAAAGTTGAGCAACTTTCATTTTTGGAGATTTTCAACTTCTTTAGAAAATTTGGGAGTAATTTGCAAAAGTAACTCAGTGGCAGTTCTGTAAATAATTCAAAAATCAAAATCAACATCGCCTGTTTGCCACCGGCGACACGCAGCTGTTCGCCGCCGACCTTCTTCGTCGCTTTCTCGCGCGGTGACACGCAGCCGGCACCGTGGCGAGCTTGTTTGTGCGTTGTCGACGCCGAACGTCTCCTTCCCGTCTATAAATAGCAGCAACCGCCGCCGTCGTCCTCCGTTTTTCCTCTTTGCTCTGTTCCGCACCGATCAACTCCGTCGCTTGCCGTAGCCGCCGTCGACCCCTTTCCGTCGTGCCTAGCTAAACCAGCATGATCGCCGTGACCTAGCGATCCTCGTAGGCTTGCTCGCGTCGCTTGGGTTGGCCGGAATCGACCGGCGCAACGTGTTCTTCCCCGTGACCGGCCGGAGCTCCGCCACCATCGACCTCACCGTGGCCCCATCGTTCCAGCCCGTCTCCGCCTTCACCAAGCACACCGGCGTGATCGTGGTGAGCTCCTGAGCGTGATGCTCGCTTCGCTTTAGCCTCTACTGCATCGTAGCCGTGGTTACACCGTGCGCCGTCGAGTCCGAGCCGCCATGGCCGGCGTGGAGCTTTCTCCGGTGCGCCTGCTGCGGTTCTGAGGGCTGGGATAGTTTCGCGGGGTTGTGTAGATGGTTCTGGTGCGGTCTGCCTCGCCGGAGCATCACCGCCGGCGCGTTTTGGCCGGCCGGTGATGGCAGCGCCGCCGTATGCTCGGTGTTGTGTCACTGACGAGCGGGACCAGTTGTCAGTGAGAGATAGAGAGAACAGTAAGGTTTTGTTATTTTCTGAGTTATGAATAGTGCAGCAACTTTGGAAATTTATAGGAAAATAATCATAACTCCAAAAATTCTGAAAAATTTTGTGTAGCTTCTGTACATGTTCTATTATGGTTTAAAATTTTGAAACTTGAAATTTGAATAAATTTTTAATGTTCAAAAATTCAGTCAATTAATTGATAAATGCAATTTCCATAATTTTTGTAGGTCACTGTATAGCTCCAAAAAATTATGAAATTTATTTTGGTACACTAATTTATTATGAGGAAGCTTACATAAAATTTTGAGGTCATTTGGAACAAGTTTATTTTTGGGCTTATTTCCAAATTAATTCAAAAATGAATAAAAGCAAACCCTAAGTGTTAGGGTTAGGGTTTGATCTTGTTTGGGTCATGTTTTGTGACAACTAGGGTTTCAAGATCAATTTGGTCAAGTCACTTAGGTCATAAACCCTAGATGTTAGTGTCAATTGGTTTTGATCTACAACTGTACCGCGAAGAAAAGTTGTATTCAACGTGTTATTATATTTCATGCACCATGAAAGCATCATGTTTACATTATCATAATGTTGAAGCATATGTTATTATTTCGTGTAGAATCCGAGAGTGAACCGATTCTAGTTGAGCAAGTTGTGGAAGAATCCCCGGTTGTCACGTGATTCGATAATTGTGGTACTGATCCGGAACCCGAGATCGTCAACGAAGGCAAGCCCCGGTTTATGCATTAAACCATTACCTTGTTTACTTTGAAAAGTTTATCACCTATATTACTTATTGCATTAAGTTGTTTAATTCAAATGTTACCTACTTGATGCATTGCCTACCTTGTTAATTGTTTACTATCCTTGAAGATGATTTCATTTACAAAGGCGTAGAATTGCTTAGTATGCTTTATGGTAGGCTTTCAAAGTAAAAGTTTTGATATAATCAAAGATGGCATACTGGCCAAAGAAAGAAAGAAAGAAGATAGAATGAACTAGAGACTAGTCGGGTGACTTATCTTGAATCTTGGGTAATGTTGCCGGCTATGTCGCTTAAAGGCCACTCATTGTGGATCTTCTGAACGAGACACTTTGTAGTACTGGTCACATACTCCGGTAAGCCTACTTCGGCTAATCCGATACTAAGACGAATGCCCACGTATTGGGAGTGGTGAGATGGGCGGGAGTAGCGTGTACCCTCGTGGCTTGAATGTGGTCGGATTTGAGGCGTGCTGTGCTCTCGGGTGGCATGGAGACGGCTTAGT